AGAAATGTTGTGGGAATAAAATCAAGGCTGCACGTAGCTGATTTCATATGGGTTAAAATTTCAGCTAAAAAGGTCAAGGACACCGGCTCAAAACTGCTAAAATAACTGTTAAGTTCCCTGCTGGTGTCTAAAATACGGTCTGGGGGGATGATTTGTTGCCTAATGTCCTTGACTTTATTAGTAAAATAAGTTAAAAACTTCTCACATAGATCCTGAGAAGGATCAGTAAAATAAGAAGGGGAGGGGTGGTGATTGATTCTAAAACCTTAAATAAAATTCTGGGGTTAGAATGATTGGCTAAAATCAGATTAGAATAAAATGCTGCTCTTGCGCCTTTAACTTCCTTTTGGTATTGTATCATTGAATCTCTCCATATTTCATAAAATACATGCAAGCCTGTTTTTTTCCATTTTCGTTCTTTCCTTCTGCAGTCTCTTTTTAGATCCTGAGTCAGTTCGTTTAGCCATGGCTGTGGGACTCTGTTAGGTTTTTTGTCTTTATAGGGAGCAACAGAGTCCAGCACAGTTTGACAGGTGAGATTAAAAGAGGAGACCAGCTCCTCTGTGTTAAAATGTTGGTAAAAGGCAGTTGAAGAGACAGAAATAAAAAGCTCCTTAAACTTGCTAGCAGACGTAGAGTTAAAAACCCTGCTGCGGACAGGTGCCTTGCTAATAAAAGGTGGCTGAGATAGAACCACTCTGAATAAAACCAGTTTGTGGTCTGACACACAGATATCCTTTGTCTCAAAGTTGTTAGGGCAGAGACCACTGTATAAAACAAGATCAAGTGTGTGGCCCTTAGAGTGAGTGGGTTCCTGTATTGCCTGAGTAAGGTTAAAAGATTCTAGAATATCCATAAAATCACCCGCAAGGGACTGAGAGGGGCAACAGACATGTATGTTAAAATCACCTAAAACAAGGATTTTATCATACTTAGAAATAAAATGTGATAGAAACTCTGAAAACTCTGCAATAAAAACATTGTTAGGTCTGGGTGGTCTGTAGATGATTAAAATTAGCACAGGATCTTTTAAATTAACAATAAAACCAAGATGCTCAAATGATGTAAAATGAGTGTGAATAATTGGAGAGCATTTAAAATCTTTTCTATGAATAACAGCAACCCCCCTCCCCGGCCTGACATCCTGGGCTGATGAAGGTGAGTGAAATCAGGGGGGTTGCTTCAATCAGAGGACTGCAATCTCCCATGGTCAACCAGGTCTCAGTGACAATAAAAAAGTCAAGATTATTATGATTTATAAAATCAAGGCAGATAAAAGATTTATTATTAAGGGATCTGATATTTAAAAGACCAAAGTTAGCTGAAGTGCAATTAAAAGTTGGTTGTGGGAGAGGTTGGAGGCGTACTTGGGTGAGATTGGAGTGGTTACAGTAATTGACAGGTGACAGATGTTGATGAGACAGTCTACAGGTGACGTGTACAGGGATAGTGAATTCAGTGCTGTGGTCTGTGACAGTAGAGAGTGTATGACAGTTATTGGAGGACAGAGAAGAAGGAGAAAAAGAGTGACACCAGGTGTGAGGAGTGGGGGAGGGGCTTGCTGTGAGTAGATTGTTCTGAGGTGAAACAGGTGAGAGGGGATTGGAAGTGGGTGTGTGCTCAGATGGATGTCATACAGGTGTTAAGGACTGGACAGCGTGCTGGATATTAGCGGACAACATTTGACTGCCCAACGGATTTGGATGGATCCCGTCGCTTTTAAAAAGTGTAGCATGGTTCCAGAACAGGTTAAAATTGTCAATAAAATCTAGGTTGTGTGAATTGCAAGCGTGCCGGAGCCAGGTGTGCAGGGAGAGGATACGGCTAAAACGCTCAGGACCACGATCAAAGGTTGGAATGGGTCCAGAGATAAAAACTGATTTTCCACAGTTTTTTAAAACGTTAAAAAGGAGATTAAAATCCTTTTTGGTGCACTCAGATTGCCGCCGGGAAGAGTCGTTTGTGCCCACGTGTACAACGACTCTCTTAATTGAGTCTGGGAGTGAAGGCAGAAGACTGAGGAGTTTGTCTAGGACTACGGGGACAGTGGCGCTGGGAAGACAGTGTGTGGTGGCATTAAAGAAGCGGACATTCCTGGTGATTGAATCTCCAATGATAAGAGTTGTCGGGGGAAAAAGAGGGCAAGGAGGTGGTGAGTGTGTGCTACCTGGATCGGCCTGCGGGCGCTCGGCCGTTACCACCTGCGGTAAAGCGGGCGGGTCATGTTGAGGCGACTGCAGTGAAGCGGACCGCCGCCGCGGCTCAGCCAGAGGAAGACCCCCAGAGCGTCTGGTGACGGCCTCCTGCAGCATTTTGCGGCGATTCTTCCCAGTGGCCGAGTGGCGGGCCTCCCGACCAGAAGAACGTGCTGCAGGTGGAGGTGAGGTGGCAAGTCCATGTGGAGCCCTGGCGGAGTGGCGAGTAGTTCCGTTTGGTGCAGGAGTACGCGCAGCGGCAGCAGAAGCCTCCTCCAGTCCCAGGCCGACCGGAGCCCCGTCCTTCAGCAGCGTGAAGCGGTTGTGGAGGGTCATCCGGGGTTGCGGAGGGGCCAGATGGTCCGTCTTCCGTCTGCGGTGTACCACGTCGGTCCAGGGTAGCTCGGGCGGCTTCGGAGTGGAGCTGTGTACTGGGGCCAGCAGCCTCTTTCCTGGTGCTGGCCCCGGTGTTGTGGCGTCCTGGTCCAGCGCAGTGAGGGCGCTGGCCAGACCCTCTGTCCCAACGCCATCGGTGCCCGAGGCCCCCTGTACTGAGGTCTCCCACATGTCCGGTCGTTTCGGCTACCGGTTCCTCCGGGTAGGCCCGCGCAAGGCCGAGGTGATCGGAGGTTAGCCAGGGAAGAGTGGCGGCCGAGGCAGACACCAGCTTTGATGCCGGCGAGGGTGGTGCGGATGGCGATCGGACCGCCAGGCTCGAGGACTGCATATAGGATATGTGTTTTGACTGTGCAGCAGCCACGGAAACAAAGCCTTCAATCAAATGGTCTTTGTTCCGAAGTTCGGACTTAAGGCGTTGGATATCGTCCTTTAACTGTGAGTAGTGATGTTCGCAGTTCGTACACACAGACATGGCTAGCTCCAGATGTTTACAAACAGTTTTAAGCTAGCAGCAGGCTTCAGTGATTACCACACTTTAAAAGTAATGTCCAAACACCCAAAGGCTAAAAATGTTCATCTATGTTGAATAAATACTAAAAACTTAAAAACACAAGAATAACCGAGGAAGAAGTTAAAACTTGATAAAAAGTAAAAAGTTTTGGCAGCGCTTCTCTCCAGTGAGCGGAGACGCCGACGCATGCGCACTGTGTAACAGTCTGGCTCATGAGGTATTCAAACCACAATGGAGATAATGGAGTTGGCACGGTGCAAGCGCTCATGGACAAGGATATGGACATGGATTCTAGAACAGCTTCATGGGCTGCAAACAACACAAACGGAATTCCTTCGGCCAAACTATTATCGGTTTCTGCTCTCTCTGGGCGATCCTTTAGAGTGTCATGGAAGGGAGAAGTGTCCAAAGCGCACAGCTTATCCACAGGGGTACCTCAAGGGTCAGTGCTTGGTCCCCTTCTCTTCTCCATATACACAAGCTCACTTGGTTCAATAATCCGCTCCCATGGCTTCTCATACCACTGCTACGCTGACGATACCCAGCTCTTCCTGTCATTCCCGCCAGACGATGTTACAGTCTCTGCAAGAATCTCATAATGCCTTGCTGATATCTCTAAATGGATGAATGAACGGCACCTTCAACTCAATCTTTCAAAGACTGAGCTCCTTGTCATCCCAGCCAGTCCCTCTATGTAACCACAGATCAATATCCAGCTTGGAACAACCAAACTCATGCCCACAAAGTCTGCGCGGAACCTGGGTGTCATGATTGATGACCAGCTAACTTTTAAGGTTCAAGTAGCCTCGATTGCCCGGTCATGTCGATTTGCCCTGTACAACATCAGGAAAATCAGACCTTACCTGTAAGAACACGCTACACGCTACATATCTTGTGATATCACGCATCAATTATTGCAACTCTCTACTGGCAGGTCTTCCTACATGCACTATCAAACCTCTGCAAATGATACAAAATGCAGCAGCACGACTGGTCTTCAACCTTCCTAAAAGAGCACATGTCACTCCGCTATTCATCTCCTTACACTGGCTCCCAGTTACTGCTCGCATCAAATTTAAAACTCTGCTGCTCGCTTACAAAACAGCGACAAAAACGGCTCCTCCTTACTTTAACTCTCTCATCCAGGTCTACACTCCCTCCCGCCCACTACGCTCTGCCAATGAAAGGCGTCTGATCCAACCTTCACAACAGGATCATACGTCTCTGACTAGAGTCCTCTCCTCTGTTGCCCCCCGGTGGTGGAATGAACTTCCAAACTCTATTCGATCTGCAGAGTCCCTCTTCATCTTTAAGAAAAAGCTAAAGACCCAGCTCTTTCATGAATACCTACTTACTTAATGATCATGGTTTCGATATCATTGATGATGATGGTTGTAACGATTGTTTTTGTTTGATAACGATGACTTATAAGATGGTTTCCATACTGATTAAAGCTCTCAAGAACTGCCGTCAATGTTGTGCTTTGCCTCTGTGCAATGCCTGTCAGCACCTGTGTGTCCAATCGGACTCAAAGCTGATCGTTTGCTCTTACTGACATTGTTCCCTTTTTTCTAGATCCTTGCTTGTGTTGTACTTTGTCTCTGATGTACGTCGCTTTGGATAAAAGCGTCTGCTAAGTGAATTGTAGAAGTGTAGAATTCTGCAATACTTGTGGTGAAAAGACTTTAATGACTGGTGTTTCAAAACACCCTGAGATTTGGGGTGATATGAGCTGGAAACATTCACAGTGCTGAGAATGTGTTTGAAGGGTTTGACTGGAAATTAATGCCTTGGTCTGTTTAGATTACACAAGGAAGGCCAAAGGTGGAGAGAGAAATCCTTTTTGAAAAACATAAACTTAATCCAACCAAAGATTCTACATACCTCATGTGGATTGAGTCTTTCAAGTGTCTGATGTAGTCCTTGGTGATGTAGCCCTCCACCTCCTTCATCTTGTCTTTATCAGGCAGGATGATCATCATGGATGCTTTGCCCTTGTATGGCAGCATGACAACAGTGGTGTGGTTTTCTTGATCCCAGTGAGCCTTGTAGTTGCCGGTTCTTGTCATCATGTCCACCTTAACTTTGGTGGTTTTGTCCACTTGGAAGTCGTGTTCACGTGTCATATCACTGTTGAAAGGTTTCTCCCACATTCCTGTACAACTTATCTTAATTATTAACTGTGGATGTCTGACCAAAAATCATTATACTTTATTAAGATCATCAAAATTACTTTTTTTTATTATTTACATGTAAATGGTGTGTGTCTCACAAATTCAAACTTGCTTCTTACCCTTAAAGTAGACGTAGTTAATCAGCACCATGGCCATATCAGGGTCTAGGTCCTTCACCATATCTTTGATCATGTCCTGGGTTTTATTTGCAATGAATCTGTTGATCTCAGCTGCAGCCTCAGAGAGATTGTTGTGGTTCACATTGAAGATCTCACCTTGGTAGAACTGCTTGACATCATTCAGGAACTTCTCCAGAGGACTGAAGCCCGAGCGCACTGCAGCAGCATTTCCAACATCCAGCTGAAGATTCTTCTGGCTGCGTCCATGGATGTCAAAGAGGTGCTTGTATGCTTCATTGACCTGAGTTTGGTTGAAGGCACTGTAGCCCAGGCTGGAGAACAGTTGGCTGTGAGTTTCCCCTCGAGCCCCTGCAGAGACCATTGACAGGGCGGTGGAGATGCCAAACGGCGAGTAGAAGATGTTCTTTCCAGGAGCGGCTTCAGCGTTCAGACTTTTGTAGAGGGCAAATGCAAAGTCAGCATTGGGAGAGGACAGCTTGTTGGAGGTAATATCTCCGGTATGGCTGTGTTCAGAGCCGTGGCTCTGATGGTGGTCTGCCCAGGCTGCAGCCAGCAGCAGTGCTGCAAGTGCACAACTACTGACAATACCACACATCTTCACAGCCTGTAGACATGACAGGAAAACATTGAGAACGTTCTTAGTAGCTTGTCCATTCTATTTGACTATATATTATTTGGTGACCAACCCCATGAATGAGTGATTCATTGCTGAGATAAACAAAATGTGTCATGAGGTAATGCGGAAACACTGTACTGTACATATAATTAATATATATATAATATATAATTACGTCACTCTATAGTTCATTTGGTGACCTACCAAATTAATAAGTAATGAATTGATAAGGCACACAAAATGTAACATGAGGTAAAGTGGAAACATTGTTCACAATAACATTGAGAATCAAAAGGATAAAGTCAACAGTAGTTTAAAGCTTGACACATTTAACCAGGATGTTCTTAAATATTTACACTTCCACTGTCACAAATACTGTCACCATTTTCTCAAGGGTTCACTTTAAAAGACTAACTAAATACAAATGCATCTCACTTCTCAAGTTTAAGTTCTCAAAGCATGAATTCATTGGAGGTCCTTTCTTACCAATCAATGTCCTCTTCAGTGCAGAAAAGTCCTCTTCTTAGCAGAAAGTTTGATATTATATTCAGTCGGTTTTACAATCTCAGCCAACAGATCTGTTAAAAATTAACCAGGAGCAGCTTTACTGGAAATTCAACAACATCATGCAACAAACACAACATGTGATAAGTACTTATATTGAACAGGTGGGTGTTTGGTCTAAAGGTTATATACACCAGGTATATAACTTGTGTTTTTATCCTATACACCAGGTTTTTGCACTTCCAATAATGATCTCATTTGAGATATATCATTCTTCATCAGTCACACAAAGGCCCTTAGGAATGGAAAGGAATGTTTTGCCTCTCAGGATGCTTTCCTATACAGTTAATTTCAATATGCTAATTTACTGCATTGTCAACAAAACAAGTTAAATAGACTGGACATGAAAATGGACAACACCTCTCCATCTCCTTCTTGTAGAAATTTTTTTTTTTTTAAATTCCCCAGGGGAGACAAAGTGTATGTGTACTGATTGTGTAAACACTCAAACACTGTTGACAGGTCAAAGGGTGATGAGTCACATGGGGGATTTGCCCATCAGGTTACTCATCTTCTTTTGGAGGTATCAAAAGTATCATAAAAGTGTTAATGACCAGAAAACTAAGTTTGTGTTATGGTCCTGCTGATAAACATGGCCGGATTCATAATGATAATGTATTCATTGTCTTAGAAACAGGATTAGCAGGTCATAGATTTTATTATGATTATTAGAAGATAGTGTAGCGATGACCTGCTGTCCAACCACAACAAAAAATTTACATGAAAACTTTTTAGGGCACTTGTGTATTTTTTTGTTTAAGCAAAAGACCAACCAGTTCCAATTCAATTCAATCTTTTATTATTTAATCTGCAAATATTATTTTATTTCATTGAATTTTATTAAAGGGGCTATATGTAACTTTTTACATGTATAATTAGTTTTTTATCGCCCATTAATAAGCGAACGGTTAACTGATGTGAAAAAGTAGATGTTCACTGTCTATCTGTGTTGCCTGTATAAAAAGTTTCCCCGGGTCGTATTTTCCACGAAAGCTCCAGGAAGTGACATTTTATGCACGTTCTCAAAGTCCTCCTCACTCCGCTCCGCTTACAGAGATCAACAGTACAAACTCATCACACACTCCCGGTCTCAGCCAGTGCCTGCAGAGACTGTTGTTTGTAGGATGGAGAATGAATCTAATATGAAATCTGTTAGTACAAATAAACGACCGGTCTCAAGCACTACACAGACTCCTTCACAGACTTTCACATGTGTATGACCACTTACCTCCCCTGTAAACATTATGCCGGTAAATATCCAGTGTTTCGCGGCCGATGGTGATGCTCGTTTGTGTACGTACGAGCACGTATGACAAGCACGCGAGGGACAGCGAGCAACAGGTTACTGGTTCAGTTCGCCTAACGGCCATGTGGTGTAGCTGCAGGCACAGTATTTTTGAAGTTACATATAGCTCCTTTGAATTCAACTCAATAACAATATCTTGATTACATTGGTTTCTATGGAAACGTGTTCTGCCTATTTGTATTGTTAAGATGGGTGAGGAGTCAGTGATTTTATCATGATGAGATTGGCTTGATGGTACGGTGGCCCGGAAGCCTCAGCTTGCATTGTCAATATGCTTTGGAAAAGAGAAAAACACAAACGCATCAAGAGAAGAGACAAACGCAAAGGCCATCACTCTGAATGGAAACATCAAAACATAAATGCAAACAATACAACACAATTACTTTACTTTACTTTTGTATGCATATATATTTAATTAGGAAAAATCTACTGACTCTACCTTTAACATTGTACAATTTATTTATGTGCTGTTTGTCATTTTTGTCCCCCTGTACTGCTTTCTTCTTGTGTTGTACAAAACGATTGTCATGTTTTTATAAAGTTAGAAGAAAAAAAAATTCTCTTCCACTTGTCGATCGGGAATAACAGTCCGACAGAAACAAAGACAAGATCCTACAGGATGCAACTTTTCTTGTAGCTATTTGCATTACTGTTGTGTTGTTGTGTTTGCGTCCATGTTGTGATATTTTCATTTGTGTTTTGGTGTGTCCGTAAGAGTTGTGGCCCTTCGCATTTCTTTTCCATTAAGGTGGTAGTATTTTCCCCTTTTGCAAAGCATTTTGGGAATGCAATTCTTCTTGGATCAAGATTGTTAAAGGGATTCTTCACCCATTTGCATTAAGCTTTGTGTCATTAGAAACCTGGTAGTATTTTTAAATCGTCATGCATCCCGCCCTCATTTTCCCCTGAGACGGTAAATCTTTGTATTTCTTGTCTGCAAAAGGAGCTTCCGATGATGTAAAATTCACCATTTTGCATCATCGGCGGCTGTTGTGGTCAGCAGGGTGAAACTACATCGTTAGTTCCTCATATTTTAGACCACTGAAGCTACAGACCTATCACAGATCAGTGAGTGGGAGCTCACTCCCAGAGTGAGGTCACTAAAGACACTTTCTGCCTTTTCTCGGTCAAGAAGGCACCAACTTATTTATTTCACATTTCTACTACATATATGACCCAATGTCAATACAGATTCATGTTTCAACAGGTGAAGTATCCCTTTAATTTCCAAGTGTGTGTGTCTTCACTTGGCTGTGGGGTCGTTGATCTTGCCCATGAAGAGGATGCTTCCAGTGGTGTTTTCCACGATGAAAACCAGGAAGGGTCTGTTGATAGTGACTGATGGAATATCATCTCTGTGAAACTGATAGCTGCTGCCTCTGTTCCCATCTCAGTGACACTGAGCGCAGCCTTGTGGGACGCCTGTGAAAAAGACAGAAGGAAGACTCATGAGTCATGATATATGAACAAACCTAAGAGATCTTTTTCAGACAAGGTCATATTCAGCATTGTTAGAATCCTATGGAAATAGTTATCAATTGTATATATATCAAGTATGATTTGATATGATATTTATCATATTGTAACGGATCAGATTTCATGACTGTTTTGGCAGTTACTGATTTGTCCCTAATGTCAGTGAATGTGTTAGATTGACACCAGTGTTCTGAGAGGTCGTAAGCCTGTCAGTTATTTCATGTGCCTATGACAGTGTCTATGCAGGTTGTTCAAGTGGGTGATTGGTCGAGAGCTTGAGGAAAGGTGGGACTGCGGTGTGTGTGTGCGTGAGCTTAGCCGACGTTGTTGTGACTAGGAGAGAGGCTGTAGGGTTGTTATTTTTGGCGTTGGCTACGGCCTACAGTAGCCTGTTTTAAGTTTGGAAATAAACCCCCATGCAAGCTGAATGACGTCTCCTAACTTCAGTGAGCAGAACGCTACAATATATATCAAATCTGCAATATTCCTGAACTACTGCTTATATTGTTGAGAAGGAATATCCCTATGTTGTTCATTTGAACATAAAATTGTGAAGAAACTGTCTCCTACCTTTGAGATTTTAAGCTTGCACTCTTCAGATATACCAGAGAAATCAGCATTGTTCTCAAAAGCGTTAGTTATGCCCATTTCTTTCAGTGTGTTCTCCAGGTCAGCATCAGCAGAGATGGAAAATTTTGGCAGGGACAGATCTATATAGCTGAGAAACAAAGGACACTGATTGCAAGAAATGTCAGCACACACAATAATAGCAAAGATTAAGAGTTACTAATAGAAAAGTACACGTTTCAGCCTTCATCAGCGTTTCAAAGACATTATGTGGGTGTGACCCATTTATAAACAGTTGTTGCCAAGTGCCAAACCTGTACATAAATATTCAAGCAAAATTGGTACAAAATGAATACAATCCAAATCAAAATGAAGTGAATTGAATTACAGAGAATTCTGGTAACAAAAAATTACAAACACATTTACACAAAATGAGTTTGAATAGATGGGAAAATTACTAAGAAGCAGTAATTTATAATAAAAGATGTGGGTCAGTGGAAGAGTTGGTCATCTTTCAACCGGAATGTCGGGGTTTCGATTCCCAGCTCCTGTGGGTACATGTCTGTGTGTCTGGCAAGATACCCCAAGTTGCTCCTGCTGCTGAATGGATTAATTAATACAGGTGGACACTTTACATAGCAAGCTCTGGCATCAGTGTGTGAATGGGTGTAAATGGGCAGGGGTTATCTGCAGTCTAAAAGCGCTTTGAGTAGTCAGAAGACGAGAAAAGTGCTATAGAAGTCCTACCATTACCAATAGTTCATTTTCAATCAGAGCATTGTCCATCACAACACTTATAAGAAGCTTGAAAATGAAAGCTCCTTGTTTCAGACCCTAGATACTCTGTCTGTAGATAATGAATCCAGAAGGCCTCTCTCTGTCACCTCTGCACAGTAGTGGCCCTAACTGACTCATCCCTGTCAATCTTAACGTACAAGCCCTGAGACAAGCAAAATTAAAATGTCAGGAAAGAGGTGACCTCTGATCATGGTTCCTGATGGTGCTTTTGTATTTCGAGATTCTGACTCTAACATCAACACTGTGTCCGAACCAACAGAATATACTAATGATTTTCAGATTGTCTAATTTAGTTTTATTATGACGATATATGTTCCAGTCAACATCTTCTCAATCACTTCAGCCCTGTTTATTTCATCATATCAAAGATTACTGGACCTTGTTCTTCATCTTTGACAAACTCAATCTATGACTAACCAATACATTTGATTCTACATACCTCATGTGGAGTGAGTCTTTCAAGTGTCTGATGTAGTCCTTGGTGATGTAGCCCTCCACCTCCTTCATCTTGTCTTCATCAGGCAGGATGATCATCATGGATGCTTTGCCCTTGTACGGCAGCATGACAACAGTGGTGTGGTTTTCTTGATCCCAGTAAGCCTTGTAGTCGCCGATTCTTGTCATCATGTCCACCTTAACTTTGGTGGTTTTGTCCACTTGGAAGTCGTCTTTATATGTCATATCACTGTCAAAAGGTTTCTCCCACATTCCTGTACAACCACAAATATCTTATGTATTAACAGTGGATATCTGACCAAAAATCATTGTAATGTAATCAAAATGTTATTTCTATTATTTACATGTAAATGGTGTGTGTCTTAATCCATCTTGGCTTACAAAAAA